ACATGTAGCAGAGGCGGTCGGCGCGGCTCCTAGCGGGGGCTAGCGGGATTTATCGCGCCATCTGTACAAGGGTTGCAGGCTTTGAATAGATTCAGTGGGAACGGTCTGGACGATGAGGTGTTGTCAGCTTGATTTCACCTCTAGCTTTCGCCCGAAACGGCCTGGTTAGGACGGCATGGAAATGTGCGGTGCGGTAGGCTTGCCGATAGATAGAATCACCGTCGCGGGGGAGACCAGCCCGAACCGGGAGCCCCAAACACCACTTATGCTAAAACGCCCCAGGGGTACTTTTGTTGTGCTCTTGTTAACTGCAGTTACTTTAATTCAGATTTTGCTTTGTTTTTATTAAATTTGTAATATTCAAATATTTGCTTTGCTTCCAAACAGATGTATAGGATTTTGTGTTTGTTCGTTTTTCGTATGTGTATGTCTGTCAATTCGCGAGTGTCTTTTCTTTCATATTTTTAAGGTGTTTCATTTGAAATGTAATACGTCCGTGGATATACGATAGGTGGTTTTGGGGAGTGAATGCGAGATGGCAAGTCCGTGTCGCCTTCACTTGCAGCTTCTTTCCTCCTGAGAGGGGTGCCATTTTAGCCCCTCCAAAAAAATGTTGTCTATTATTTCTTGCGCTCTCGAATCACACGCAGTGTATGCTCACTTGTATGAAAAACTGTCTTCCCGCCATGTTTAAAAAAAAAACCACAACGTAGGTTCCCATTTTGTTAGACGATCACAGCCAAGGCCAAATTTTGAATTTTTCGCGGGCCTTTCAAATTCAAGGCGGGAACTTTGGGTTATCACAACATCTTTTTTTCCTGCACAAAAATCGAAAGGAAAAAATTGTCTGAACATACGCATAGGCACATAAGGAAAAGAGTGCATAAAAAATAAAATAAAATACTTAACAAAATATGCAATAAAAAGATGTCAATTTTTTTTTATAAAACAAAAATAAGACAAAATTCCCGATCAAAATAGTCTTCATAAAAGATTTTTAAAAAACCCAATTTAAAATAATGCAAAATTCTAACCTTTAGGCTTCTTCTTCTGCTACAATTTAGCGAATCCCCTCTTCTTCATTTACGAACCCACTGCAACAAAAAACAAACATGAAATTTTTGTGTATACAAAGAAAAATACCATGGAAGTTAACATTAACTTTATACATACTAATTTTTTAATAACGGTGCAATTCAACATTACACAGGTTTAACAGGATATAAAAAATACTAATCAGAAAAAGTTTTGGAATCACAATATAAATAAATTATGTGCAAAATTTTACACTTACATCACGCGATTCTTAGTGAAGATGAACAGAAAAAAATCTACATAACAGACTCAAAATACACTGAAAAAAAAGAGATTCGGAGATAGACGGAAACGGAAATTGGAAATTTTCACTCCATACACTAGAAAATGTCGAGAAAACAAGAAATGAAAGTTTAATTAAAAATAATCCTGCTATACTACGTTTGGAAATTAAAAACATTCTATACTTAATTTAACCGGAACTTCAATAAACATTTTCCAATTAACTCAAACATTGAAGACCACTGTTTTAAATTAAAATGATTGTCTGAAATATTTTCCTGATTTACTGAACTTCTTTTAATTGTAATTAAGTATGTCCAAAATACAACAAATTTTCAAAACAATTCTGAAATTTAAGAAAACAATAACGATAATTGCAATAATGCGGAAAACGTAAATAAAAATAAATGATGTAAAAATCAAAATTGGATTTAATTTTTAAATACTTAATTAATATTGATAAGAACCTATTAGATATTCCAAATTATATCAGCCGAAAGGCTAGTTTTAAAGAATAAATATCTGACTAGATATTAACGTTTGAGTTCTTGTTGCAACATAAAATTTATTGGGTCATAATCATTATTCAATTTGTACAACACAACAATTTAAAATAAAAGAACTGAATAAATGGACATTGAATAATAGGCCGATACATAAAGCCCAATTGTAACACTTACCCTTTAAATCCGGTTTTCCTTTCTTTCCGCGCCGATCCTTGCAGACTCCTTTCTCATGGGCACATCACAACACTCACCTTTCACTTTAAACCCGAAACCAATTATTTTTAACAAAAATAAACCAGTTAAAAAAACTAATTTACTCAACAAAGTCAAAACCGACTGCTACTGAACTCCTTTGATGCGTAACACGAAAAATGAACAAAAAATTCTCCCCGACACCTTATCAGACATTTTTTGCGAAGTTTTTTTTTTTATCGATGTATCGCATAGTTAATGAATCTTAATTAAAATACTGCGACATTATTCATTAACAGAACATTATTTTTGCGTTGTGTGGATGAATAAGAAATTACGAATTGCACATACAATTTGCCAAAAACAAAATATTTTATTTTTCGACAGTTAATGACACAACACAGAATTCAAATTTTGTCACCATTTCTGCCAAAATACTCATGTAAAATAGATTCATACGGGGTGTTCCAACCTTAGATCATATAATAAATAGATACCAATACTCAAACTGAAAGCTGTGACTAGACATGAAGCTAACTGTTGTCGTTTTCTACGTCAAGAGGAGTAGTATAATGCTATCCTTGTGTGATCACCACATCTTCATCTTTGTTATATGCATTTCATCTGTATATGTCTATTTCACTTCCATCCTTGTACCGCACCAGCGCAACAAATCGCTTTTGACAGATGTTTCTTCTAACCTCTCTTTCGAGTTGAACAATTTTAGAATTTAGAACAAAGATCCTATTTTAAGTGATGTAATCATAAAGGATCACAATTGCTGCCCAATAATTTACTATTCCTTTCATTATCTACTGTGAATTATTTATAAAATCAAGCTGTCAACATCTTTCGTACGAAGTTAGTTCAGACATACTTCCTAAAATTTAGGCGCGCAAAATTCAAATAGTGATCAGGCAAGGATAGCTTCATTGTAATCCCTCCATGCACGAGAGAGATGTGTGACAGGAGGATGTCGTCACAGGCTCTGCTAGGGAAAGAACACGGCATGGTGGTATCTATTTATTATATGATCTAAGGTTCCAACGGTCAAAGGGCGGAAAATTAAACATTCGCTGTAGAGTGTAGAAAAAATTCTTCAACGCAATCTAATAGAGCTATAATTTAAAACTACATATTTTCAAACATATAGAATGTCAACAAAGCTGTATGTTTACTTTCGGAGCGCAAGTTAGCAAAGTATTGTAATAAAATTTCATTTGCCTATTTTCATGTTTTATCGAGGTTTTATAATCGCAACAACCAGAATAGAAAAAAAATGGTCGAAGTTTATTTAGGCAGAACTTACCTCGCCCCTGAAACCATCCTGTCTCTTTGAAAAATTATGAAATTTGATGCTGCGATTTTTGTTTTGTGATAACCTGTACAAACTAAAAACACATGGCGTAAATAACATCCCCCGCAATCCCTACGCCTACGCAGGGTACCGTGGTCCGCACAATGCGATCAATAGAAAATATATTTAAACCAGATAACCAACGAAAAAATGAACTCGTAGTAACTACATGGTTAACTTCGTGTATTTATATTTATACTTCGAAAGAAAATCAAAAGTGGACGTTGAAGGTACATTGCATTTTCAAAGTTATTAATATTATTATATACAATACATCCATACATATAAATACTTACATATTCAACAACATCCTCACATTGTTTTTGTTTCTTCTTTTACCACTAACCTCTAAGTACTAACATAAAACCGATTTCATTAATTTGTCTTTAGGTACTTTACACTTAACTTTTGGGATGCCCTCGTAAAACGCCAGTTCCGTATAGGGATTTTTCTGTTTGCAATTTCAGTCACTAAAAAAACTTCACCAAATTTTAAATTCATAACCTAATTTTTGCGACCGTTCTACAAAAGTTATCGAAAGTATGAAATATAAAAGTAAAACTTGAAAATGTGGTCGGTAATTATTGCCTTGAAGACTACATTGTCATACACGTTATTCGCCAGCTGTAAAGTCGGCCAGTTCATAGTAACAACTTTACAAACATTACTTACCAATGTCTTCAACATTCTCGGCAAACTCTTCACAGTGTTGACTGTAATAATAGAAGATTTTACCATATTTTTACGCGATGTGACAACTAATATAAATAATCTACTCACTAGTCTAATATACGCCTGTGAATGGACAGCTGCTGGAATTTGTTCAACTGGCCACTTCATAGTACAACTTCTTCGAACAAGTTGGACATCTCTTTCATCTGTATATGAAACTGGGATCAGTGGAATAGCTGCAATTTTTAATAAGGTCAAGAATATCATCATCTTTGTGAAACAAGTTATCATCATGTTTGGTGATGGAGTATGGTTTATTGTCATCTATGTACCAAAGTCAGGAATATTATTTGGTGTTTCCATCTTGGACTATATAAAAAATCTTTGCATTCAAAGTATTTATGACGTGCTAGCCAATTTGAAATATTTATATTTCTCAATCTCAGAATGTATATATGATTGTTACAGTTTTTTAACTGACGTTCCTTTAGAATCTTTTATAGGTATCATCATTACATTTTGTTTCTTGTATATTTTTCTACAGTTCTATACCGTGTTGTATAGTTATACCAGAAACAAAATGACCTCATTTTTATATGCATTTAGAATAAAATATCGGCAAGTTAAGACTAGTGTGAACAGATTTTGGTCACGAAGCCTTCAGAGAGAGGCCCCCAGAAGAATAGTGGAACCTGAACCAAGTACAAAAGCAGATGACAATGTAAACTGCATTGTTTGCCAAGATCATGCAAAATGTATCCTAGTGCTACCATGCAGACATCTTTGCCTGTGTATGGACTGTACTCCAAGACTGATGCGTTACAGTGGCCACTGCCCCATTTGTAGAAAACGGATTAAATCTACTATTAAAGTTTATACATGATCAGTTTTAAACTGGTTTCTTACAATAGCTTTGTTTTTGGGATTGTATTTACGTTGTTAATTTGAGAATAAAGTATTTTTCTACATGAAACTTTATTTCAAATAAGAAAAAAGAATAAATAAATATTTTATAAACATGTAAAACGAAGTTATGTGTGTTTTATCTACTCCCAACTTTTTCCTTTTGTAAAAATAATGTTAGTGTGTCCCTGGTAATCTCAGTAACATAATTTTTGCCAATGACGTTCTTTAAAGCTTTAAAACATCCATCCAAATTCCATGCAGGTTTGAATTTTTTATCTTCACTCTATAATTGTAAGTATTAAAATTAATTTTGCAACATATATAAAAATTACTTTAATTAGTCCTAAATGTACCAAAATAGTGTTGTTAACCATTGAAGAATTGCTAGATCCTTCAGACCATGTGAAAAGTTCTTTAAATAATTTTTCTGAACAATCTAGTGCCATTTCTGAAATATTTTCCTTTGAGCTTGCAACAAGAGACGCTACTTTCATTAAAATTGGGACATATGTATTCACATCCATACTTTGTCCTTTCTATAACAAAAGTACACATATACATAGAACAAATATTATATATAATTAACAAATTTATTATTTACCTTAGCTTCTCTTAATATTAACTCACTTCTTGCATCACCAAGGGCTAAAAAGTTGTCAGCAGTTGGCAAATTTAAGAAATCTTCTGGTGTTTTTGTTTCAATGTTTTCTTCCTCCATATCACTCTCAGAGTGGCAGGTACCATCACTACTCTCATCTTCACTATCTTCTGATTCATCTTCACTTAGACTACTGAGAGCATTTAATTTTCCTAAAAATACACAAACTTAGTAATTATTATAAAATAAACTGTAATATTTAAACCAATTTCTCTAATTTCGTGATCAATCTGTAATCTTCCTTCTTCTCCAAATTGATTTCCATTTATATTCAAAACCTTCAGTTTGCTTTTATTTGATACAGCTTTAATCAAATGTATTGCTCCTCTTAGTCTTATTTCATTATGACCAAGATTCAATTCCTCTAACTTTTCATGACCATTTTTCAAACCATCTGCCAACAAGATAGCCCCACTCGTTTTTAATAAACAATCACCGAAGTTAATTTCCTTCAAGTTTTGTAAATGTGGTAACGATTTGGCGATAGCTGCAGCGCCTATTTCACCAACAGTATTATCATTCAAATTAAGTATCTGTAAATTTTTGTTATTGCTAAAGGCATCTGACAATGCAGCCATTCCTGGGTGGTAAATGCCATTTTGTGGCATGGCAATTTCTTCAAGTGTACCAATCATCTAAAAGAAGCAATGAAGATGAATTGGATAATGGTTACTGAGGGAGTAATACATACTTTGAAAACCTCTGCAAGTGCTTTAGCACCATCATTTTCAAGCCGATTTCTACCTGCTATAAATACTTTCAATGCTAGAGGTTTTCCATCTTTTTTGCTAGATTCGTAACAATCTGTGAGAGCAGAAGCTAACAACTTTCCACCTGTAATTCCTAGTCCATTATTGTTTAAACGAAGTTCCTCAAGAGCATAACATGAAGAACTTCTAAGTAAAGCAGCAAGGCCTTCTACTCCAATCGGACCGAACGCATTGTCACTCATGTCTAGTTCGGTTAAGCGTGCACCTGCTGAAACTAATCCACTTCCAAGAAATTCCTAGAACAATTACTTCCAAATAAAAATCACTTCTTGTAAAATTTTACTACAACTTATATTAGTTAAATTTACCAATGATTTGGGTATTTCTGTTTTCATTCTTCCAGTGAACATATCCTTCCATAGTGCTCTTTTAAACTCAGGATGTTTTTCCAAGGCTTTCGCTATACCTTTGGAAGCTTCCACTCCCAAAGTATTGCCTTCAAGATTTAGAAACTGGAGATTAGGACATTTGTTAATTTCGTCAATAATGCTTTTAGCTGAAATATTTAAAACGTTACTAACATTTGTATCAGTGAATTCGGCTAACCTCACCATCGTCGACAGAATCAAGTTTTAAGGATTGACCAGCAAAAGTAACACCAGTGGGGCTCACGCGGGTCACTTCCAAGGCGTTGGTTATTTCGTCGACGGTGGAATTCGTCATTTTCTCGCACTTTGTTGCGTTAACGCAGTATTCTTTTACAAAATATTATACAAACATAACCCAAACCATGCGTTAAGGGCGGTTAATTTTTTATAACCTTACCGGAAAAGAAGCATATGAAAATTTTCAAATGTAGCCTTTATGTACAGTTCCAATAAGGATGTAAAGAGAAACGACAGCAGATCAGTCAACAATCTAACAAAAGTAAAAGTTCCTAAAAAGCAAACCCAAGTTAAGTTACGAGGGAGGTCCAAAGGTTCTGCTGCTGTGAGCTGTATTGCTGTATGCTTTATCTGCGTACTCGATATGCATAGATTTGTTTTGACAGTGTCAAAAAGATTGTACTTTTTAACCGCACACATAAATTATCTAAAATATCTTATCAGCACTTTATATTTGGATCCTCGATTGAAAAAACTGAATCTTCACACTGTGATAACCAAAACATACCGTCAAAATGAGGCATGTGAAAAAATATAAAATCAACGAAAAGTCAAGCTATGACCTTGAGATGCTATCAAAATGGAACCCTAAGTGGAAAAGTGACCTTAAATCATATTACAAAATTTGAAGGGCACATCATTTATTTCTTCGTCCTGGGTAGGAAAATGCTGTGAAATAAAATAAGTCTGAAGAAACTATTCACCCAGTCGCAAAAACCTCCCCAGCTTTTAAAATCACATGTTACAAATCGATACAAATATTTGAATAACAAATTTACAAACATTAAAAAAACAATCTTAATTAAAGTAACTGTACAGCAGACAAAGCTGAGTTAAAACAAATTACTAACCATTGCTACAATACACGACGTGCGACTAACACTCGCGTTACTGTGGCTGTACTCTTATCATTGCAAAAGAGACAGCCAACTAGGCGGTCTGATTCACGGGGTGGTGTTCTGAATTTGAAATTTAAATTTCGCGCTGGGAGAAATATAATAACGCCGCGAAACCGCACTGTAGCAGGTAGATTTTTCGGGAGGAGACTCACTTCCTGTGATTACTTCTTGTGTAGCAATGCCAGTGTAAATGTGAGTTAAAATTGGTACGTCTGATTTAGTTTGTAATTTTATAAAAGAGCCAGTTGTTTAAATACAAACGAGTCACATTCGACGCCATGCTCTCCCTTCAACAAACTCAATTAATTATTAATGACTTTCTGATCCGAAATGTGTGAAACTTTGACAAATTCGCCAATACATTTTGAGAGAAAGGGCCATCAGTTAACTTAAAATCACCATGGACTAAAAATGGTTTTATATGTGTTCTGTATTAATATGCTATTTTCTCATATCGGTAATACTCTCTCACAGCTTGAATTTGAACATGTATTCTCGAATTTTTATTTTGATTTTGAGCTCATTTAATATATGCCTTATTATGTTTATTGCATATGTGCTTTTTTATGTTTTTATGTTGTTGAGTCAACACATAATTCAACCTCTTGTAAATTATTTGTTGTTTAAAATTGTTGACAAAGTGTGACATAATTTAATTTTGCTTGTTCTTCTTTCTTGTCATTATAATACTCATAAATTCAAAATATTTTAACTCTAATTATTACCGAACAAAACGCAAGACATCGCGTGGAAATGAATAGTGCAGAATCCAAACATAAAAAGTTTCACAGTATCTCGGATTTTAAAATCGTTAATAAACTGATCTTACGCTAATTGCAATCGTTGAGAAGAACAGCGGTGTCGAATGCGATTTATTTTTGTTTAAGTAATTGCTCTTTGGTAAAATTATATAGTAAATTTAACCTGCTCTCTTTTAGCAGGTGGTTACTTCACTACCAAAACAATAAGTGAGTCTTGAGTCAAGTGCGCTCTCCAATTTTCTACCTGCTACGTCTACATTCCTAATCCATAAACTGTCAACCTATATGTTAGTAGGTGCGAATTCTCTAAACACACTAAAACATGGGTGACTAGAATGATTTTTGTTTTTCCAAATACGGTTTCAGCGGTAATTTTTCTTCGGCGCGAAATTTAATTTTCTCATTTTTCAATTCCATTGTAGTAAAATAAATGGATAAAATAAGTAATGCTAAACTGACTAGTTGATTAACAACAAGATTAAACGAAAAAGCCGGCAAATTGATCCAGTAGATAATAAACTTTTTACTTCCCGAACGTAAACGAAGGAAGTATTGTAATCGAGTCCGTCGGCTGACTCTCTAGTTTTACGTTTTCTCTCTTTCATGACCACTCCACTACAAAGAAATAGGTGTCCCGTTTCCGTGTGTCTGTCTGCCGTCCCGGATTTTGTGTAAAATAACATAGTCCTACACATGTAGTTTATGACTCCGTGTTGACTTTTTACCCGAAACGTTCAGTGTATATGCATTGTTTCAAAATATGGCTAAGAATATTTGACTGCGCACCATAGACATATATCTCTATCAGTGGTTCATTAAATCCCGACATCAATCATATTATGATTGTGTCGGGACGATAGTAGGTACCATAAGGTACCATAAGGTACCAAATTTATGTTGGCGTTGTAGTTATTTGACATTTTATGTGACAGTTAGTTGACCGTAAATGTCATAATGATTAACGGAAACAATTAATGAGGCGTTGGTGTTGTCAACATGTTTTATTAACACATGATATTTTTACTTCCTGAGCGTAAGCAAATAAGAGGATGATGAAATAGGTCTCCCTTTTCCGTCTGTCTGTCTGTCGCCACGGATTTTTATTCCATAGATAATCTCCGAAAGTACTGGGCCGATTTTTGTCAAATTTTGTATTTATATTAGGAATTTCATGTAGATGGTAAAACACTAACCAAAATTTGTCTAATCATCCCCACCAATAATGTGATGACGTCACTTCAAAATTGCACATATTAAAATATAAATAAAGATAAACACATGTAGTTTATGACTCCGTGATGAGTTTTTACCGGAAACGTCCAGATTTTTGAAAAACAATTAAAATTATAAAACAACATTTTGCAATTTAATTTTGAATCTGCAAAACCGAATATTTCGAAATTTTGCAGATGTTTTAAACTTATGGTAATCATGACACATTTTTAATTAAAGGATATTTACTTATCCCCTTCAAAAAATTGATGACGACAGCTCAAAATTTTGGTGAGTAACTCCCAAGCTAAAATGTGCAAAATATGATCAGTTTATACATGTAAATTATCATATTTCACATTAATTTACGGCTTACAAATAATAATATTAACTACAGTTTGTTCATTCACTCTTTCAAAAAATTGGTCTTATAAATTTTTAACCAACTCTGCTAAATGATAAATTACGAACACTTTCTGCTTACCGATGAGTTATTTTATCTATTATTTCAGAAATAATTTACCTAAATTGCTTAAAATATAACCACAAACAAGACCTTTTCATTACGAAACCAACTTTGACAGTCAATCTTTTTATAATTTTTTTTTTTGTTGTTTCATGTCGTTTTTGTTATCTTTGTATTTTAACTTCCAGTTACTGATACTTCCACCCATATTTACTATAAATCAAAATCATGATGACTTGACATTATGTATTTATACTTACTTTCCTATATAATTACTTATAGTGGATTTGTATATCGCATATCAAATCCTGAACAGTACCGTGTGTAGTTGGCCACATCAGTTGGTGCATAGGTTCCTGCGCGGTTTAATAAACACGTGCTACCGTGTGTCAGTCAGACTCTGTCCCGTTCCAAACTATAATACGTTATCGTAGGCAGCAGAACCAATGATCGCATCAACAAGTTAAACGATAACACGTTAAATTTCAAGGCTAGTGAACAAATTATATTTTTTGTGCAGTTATTTCACCTTTAGAAAAATATGGGAGTCGTTGTAAAATTATCTTTGGTGGTTGGTACAATTTTAATTGCTTATACCATCAGCAAACTATGCCAAACACCCCCCGTTCCAAAATTAGAAGCTACTTGGTGGGGCCCTCGTGATGCATCAAAAGAAGATACATCAATTAAGCCATTTAAAATTCAAGTGTCGGATGCGGTGAGTTTGCATACGCTATTTTTCAAAATGGTTATTATGTATTATGCAGTCATAACTAATAAGTGTGCAATTTACTTTAGCATTTAAGAAAAATATAATTACCTCGTTAGAACGATGTTATTAAAATTCAATGTCATTGCTACTAAAAAACAAAACGAATAATAAAGTAAAATTCCACGTTTAGGTATTCATGTATCTTCCGAAACAGAGATTATTTAAAAGATAATACAGCGAACGCCAAGAACATTTTAAAAACATAATAACATCGTCTTTCGAAAATAAAAGGAATTAGAGTTGGCTGTAAGATCAGTTGTATGGGTTGTACTACCGCTCAACTTACACATTACATCATTCTGTCAAAATTTGATTGAATAAATCCCGCTTGAAATTGTAGTGTGGCATATTCGTTTATTTGTGGGTTATATTAACATGTTATAGAAAATTCAAGTTTGTAATTTAAAAATATTATAATTTATCTAACAAGCTGACCTTGTACGTTTGTACTTCAGGCCTCAAGGCGGTTCCGTCTAAATATATAACTTTAGCCCAATTTTTGTCTTAAAAAACTGGTTCAGAGTCCCATTGTGGATGTAGACAATTTCTATTTAGTTTTGTTGTAAAAGCATACTGTATTACATAACAGACATTTTTATTAAGTAATATGGAAAGATAATATGTAGATACGTATTTTGTTATTGTGTTTGTTGATCTCCAAATATGTCCACGTTTGTTATCTTACTTAGATAAGCGCTGCATAACATACTAATATCAAGACTTTTTCAACAATATTTTTAGAAATATCTGTAATGTTTAAAAACACGTCTTCTCGCGCTACATTTTCTTCTGCCTTGTTTTAGTTTGAAAGCGACTTTTTTTTACTAAAAAAATACTCTAAAATTATTTAAATAAAACTTCTCATGCACCCTGAAAGCAGAATCAAAGAAATAGCAATTTGACAATTATATATTATATAATAATAATAACTCATAAATTTTTTGAAATATTTTGTATAAGTAACTGTAAAAAATGGGAATGCGTTTGATAATAATTCACAAATATGGACATGTAATAACGGGTGGGCAACATAATCCGTGATCATGATCACAAAAGGTTCTCCAAACAAAATTTTGGATCTATACTTGATTGATTCGGTTGTCACTGACTTGTCAAATTCTTGACATTTGAATTCAAATATCTGAAAACCAGAGAGATATAGGTTAAGAGTTTAAAAAGTTCCTAGATATGTTTTTTGAAATACAGACAACTGCGATCACGAATTATGTTGCTCATCTGTTACATTCTAAATTTTAGACACGATTTATCTTGATTAATTTTAATATTTTCTATACAACGTCTTTGGTATTGTCTACTTCAACTCAGGAATGAAACTTACAACAATAATTAATTTCTGGCTTATAGGTTTTACAAGATCTTCAACACCGCCTCTCAAACGCAAGAACATTAACACCACCTCTAGAAGGTGTCCAGCATCAGTATGGTATCAATACTAAACTGCTTAAAAATATACTCGACTATTGGCGAACTAAGTACAACTGGAGGGAACGTGAAAAGTTCCTCAATCAGTTCCCACAATACACTGTGAGCGTACAAGGATTACGACTTCATTATATCCATGTTAAACCCACGAATCCAGGAAAGGCGAAAGTCCTTCCTCTTCTGTTATTACATGGTTGGCCAGGATCGGTCCGTGAATTTTATGACCTAATTCCACTATTGACCAAACCAGCGTCAGGTCGAGATTTCGTTTTCGAAGTAATAGTACCATCGCTACCTGGATATGGATTTTCTGAAGCTGCCGCACGACCTGGATTAGGAGCAGTAGAAATGTCGGTGGTTTTCAAGAATCTGATGAATCGTTTGGGTTTTGAAAAATATTACATTCAAGGGGGTGACTGGGGTGGAATTATTGTACAGCATATGGCTACTTTATTCCCAGAGCAAATTTTGGGTGTCCATGCTAATATGTGCTTCGTCAATTCTGTTCTTTCTACTGCTAAATTAATTTTGGGTAGTGTTTATCCTCCCTTGATAGTCGACAACAAAGAACAAGAAAGTAAACTATATCCGCTATCTACTATGTTCTCCAATTTGCTGCTAGAAATGGGATACATGCATTTACAGGCGACTAAACCTGACACTGTTGGAGTCGGGTTGAACGACTCTCCGTCAGGTCTAGCAGCCTATATTTTGGAAAAATTTATAACTTGGACTAATGAAGAATGGAAAAATTTAGAAGATGGTGGACTCACAAAGAAATTTAGCTACGCGGATCTTTTGGATAATGTCATGATTTATTGGGTTACGGGATCAATCACAACTTCTGCGAGGTTATATTCAGAAAGTTTCAATATAGCTCAGTTGTCATTGGGTGTTGAAGGGTAAGTTTGCTCTTAAGAAGTCGACCTTTTAAACAAGTTGTTACTAAAAGTTATTAAAATTCATATTTGTTTTCAGAATACCTATCACGGTACCTAGCGCATGTGCAAGATTTCCAAATGAATTGGCTCAACAACCAATGGCCATCCTGAAGGAAAAATACCACAACCTTGTCCATGTTTCTGATTTTAAAGACGGAGGACACTTCGCTGCCTTTGAATTGCCTAAAGCCTTAGCTGATGACATTTTCATTGCTGTTGAAAAAATGCGTTCATCTAATTCAACACAAAAATAGTTTTGTATTTTTTAAATAAATGTTACTAAAACGGTATAGGTAATTTAAATTATTGTAACCCCTACATTGAATTATATTTTTGTGGTCGCATAAATTTTTTCTTCACATTTACTTTTAAAGTACTTCAAAGTACCACTAGCTACCTCATCTACAGCCTATGCTTCTAAGACATGACGAAAATGAATCTACGTAGTGAGAATTCCAATTTAACTTTAGCGGGAACCTTCAGAAGTTATCAGCAACTACTTAAATACTTGTAACAATGTTTCGCTGTAAAGCACGTTGAATGCAGGTTTTAAAATGCTTACTAAGATAAGTGAGTAATGTGAAAAAAGAACAGAAAACTATAATTGAGAATTGTGTTTGTGTTTAACGTAAGCACCTTGTTGAACTTGAACAGTAGGAATATAGGAACATATTAAATGTCCTATTTAAATGTTGATTTTAGTAACATTTTTTTGCTGACCAGCCACAATCACCGTCTGTAATTACAACCTACCCCTTTCTAAACAAATATGTAAGTACGTACTATTATAAACCTCAAAAATTTAAAGAAGAGGAAGAAAGAAATTAAAGGCAAAGTTGAAGTAAGCCCGCGAAGAATAAGTCCGCGGGGAATTTATACCAGCTGCAAAAACCTCCTCTTCTTTCAAATTCAAATATTACAGACTTATAAATTATAACTGGAAACCGTGTGATTCCTCTTTCGCCACAACTTTGTGCCTTTATGTCGATTAAAATTCAAATCCTGTCTTTCTCGAATTTATAACTGAATGAGTATTAGAAATATTAGAAGTGAAGCAAGCAACATTTAATTACGCTACACTCTGTCAAGAAACAAAGAATTTACTTATATGATGGTAAATTATACATTAATTCAATTGATCATCAAAAAAGCAAGCACAAATTAAATCGTGCATTCTCCGGTCCACGTTGTTATTAATTGGACTGACGAAAATTTTCAAGGTCCTTTCCCTCAAAATAGATCAACGTTTAACATTAGTTTAATAGTATACATCAAGGGATTAAACTAGTTTTTTATCCTCCTAAGGGGATGTTCAAATTAAAATAAATTTGAGGATTCTGGTGTTTCGAGGATTTGAGGATCCTGGTGTTCAGAGGATTTGAGGATTCTGGTGTTCTGAGGATTCGAAGATTCTGGTGTTCTGAAGATTCGAAGATTCTGGTGTTTTGAGGATTATGGTGTTCTGAGTATTTGAGGATTCTGTTGTTCTGAGGATTTGAGGATTCTTTTGTTGTGTGAATTTGAGTATTCTGGTGTTCTGACGATTTGAGGATTGTGGTGTTCTGAGGATTTGAAGATTCCGATTTTCTGAGGAATTGAGGATTCTGGTGTTCTGAGGATTCGAAGATTCTGGTGTTCTGAAGATTCGAAGATTCTGGTGTTTTGAGGATTATGGTGTTCTGAGTATTTGAGGATTCTGTTGTTCTGAGGATTTGAGGATTCTTTTGTTGTGTGAATTTGAGTATTCTGGTGTTCTGACGATTTGAGGATTGTGGTGTTCTGAGGATTTGAAGATTCCGATTTTCTGAGGATTTGAGGATTCTGGTGTTTGACGATTTGAGGATTCTGATGATTTGAGGATTCTGGTCTTCTGAGGATTTGAGCATTATGTTGTTTTGAAGACTTGAGGATTCTGGTGTTTTGAGGATTTGAGGATTTTGGTCTTCTGAGGATTTGAGGATTCTGATTTTCTGAGGATTTGAGAATTCTGGTGTTCTGAGAATTTGAGGATTCTGGTGTTCTGAGGATTTGAGGATTATGGTGCTCTGACGATTTGCGGATTGTGGTGTTCTGAGGATTTGAGGATTCCGATTTTCTGAGGATTTGAGGATTCTGGTGTTCAGAGGATTTGAGGATTCTAGTGTTTTGAGGATTCGAGGATTCTGGTGTTCTAGGAATTTGAGAATTCTGGTGTTCTGAGAATTTGAGGATTCTGGTGTTCTGAGGATTTAAGGATTATGGTACTCTGACGATTTGAGGATTGTGGTGTTCTGAGGATTTGAGGATTCCGATTTTCTGAGGATTTGAGGATTCTGGTGTTTGACGATTTGAGGATTGTGATGATTTGAGGATTCTGGTCTTCTGAGGATTTGAGCATTATGTTGTTTTGAAGACTTGAGGATTCTGGTGTTTTGGGGATTTGAGGATTTTGGTCTTCTGAGGATTTGAGGATTCTGATTTTCTGAGGATTTGAGGATTCTGGTGTTCAGAGGATTTGAGGATTCTAGTGTTTTGAGGATTCGAAGATTCTGGTGTTCTAGGAATTTGAGAATTCTGGTGTTCTGAGAATTTGAGGATTCTGGTGTTCTGAGGATTTGAGGATTATGGTACTCTGACGATTTGCGGATTGTGGTGTTCTGAGGATTTGAGGATTCCGATTTTCTGAGGATTTGAGGATTCTGGTGTTCAGAGGATTTGAGGATTCTAGTGTTTTGAGGATTCGAGGATTCTGGTGTTCTAGGAATTTGAGAATTCTGGTGTTCTGAGAATTTGAGGATTCTGGTGTTCTGAGGATTTGAGGATTATGGGACTCTGACGATTTGAGGATTGTGGTGTTCTGAGGATTTGAGGATTCCGATTTTCTGAGGATTTGAGGATTCTGGTGTTCTGACGATTTGAGGATTCTGATGATTTGAGGATTCTGGTCTTCTGAGGATTTGAGCATTCTGTTGTTTTGAAGAGTTGAGGATTCTGGTGTTTAGAGGATTTGAGGATTCTAGTGTTTTGAGGATTCGAAGATTCTGGTGTTCTAGGAATTTGAGAATTCTAGTGTTCTGAGAACTTGAGGATTCTGGTGTTCTGAGGATTTGAGGATTCTGATGTGGTGAGCATTTGGGGATTCTGGTGTTCTAAGGATTTGAGGATTATGGTGTTCTGAGGATTTGAGGATTCTGGTGTTTTGAAGATTCTGGTGTTCTGAGGATTCGAAGATTGTGGTGTTCAGAGGATTTGAAGATTCTGGTGTTCTGAGGATTCGAAGATTCTGGTGTTCTGAGGATTTGAGGATTATGGTGTTCTGAGGATCTAAGGATTCTGGTGTTCTGAAGATTTAAGGATCTGGTGTTCTGAGGATTTGAGGATTCTGGTGTTCTAAGAAGTTGAGGATTTCGTTGTTCTGAGGATTTGAGGGTTATGGAGTTCTGAGGAGTTGAGGATTGTGGAGTTCTGAGGATTTGAGGACTTCGCTGTTCTGAGGATTTGGGGGTTATGCTGTTCTGAGGATTTGTGGATTCTAGTGTTCTGAGGATTTGAGGTTTCGCCTCGTGATTTAAACATCCCATCAGGAGGATAAAAAGCTAGTTTAATCATGCGGTGCAGATACTATTTTTTTCGACACCGACGCCATGCGATCCTATTCTTCATTTCGAAAAGAATTTGACATAAATTGAAAGGAATTGAGAAGCACCAGACGGAACCGGACCTTAGAAACAGATTCGCTCATTTTGATAGCAACGTTGTTTATTTGCAAAATATTTGTCAATTGAGGTTTTTGGGTGTACCGAAATGGACTTGGAAGTAGTTTTAGAAGTAGATAGTTTGTTCCGAACGATGTTACTGAAGCGGCGACCAACAATTTGCTTCCAGAAAAATCAAGAAACTTGTATGAAAAAGAATACACGAAGTTTTGCAACTGGAGAAGTCAGAACAAGGCCAAAGGCGTCAGTGAGGATATAATTCTTGCCTATTTGTCCGAAAAAGCAAGGAAACCTTCAAGTTTGTGGAGGTATGATTCAATGTTAAAGGTTGTTATTACATTGAAAGAAAAAAATTGGTCGAACTTCCTCCGTTCCTGAAATACAATGATAATTTTTTTGAGTCACCCTGTATACGCCTACTCAAAAAATATGAATGGAATGATAAATCACAAGTACAGATTCATCATATTTTGTACATTTTAGATAGGATTTATTCAGCAAAAATTTTGGGGTGACGTCATCAATTTTTAGGGGGGATGAGCAAATACATTTTGATCAAAAATTTTCTATTCTTACGATTCCTTGAAAACATCTCCAAGGTTTGAAAGCATTCGGGTATGTAGTTCCTGATTAAATGAATAAAATAAATACACGCATTCATTAATTTTTTTGAGTCACTCTGTATATGCAAATCCAAAAACTTTGAACGGAATGATTAATTACAAGTACAGATTCATCACATTTTGTACATTTTAGATAGGATTCATTCGGCAAACTTTTGAGATGACGTCATCAATATTTTGGAGGGGACAAGTAAATATATTTTGAATAAAAATTTATCATGCTTATCATAACTGTAAATCATCTGCAAGATTTCAAAGCATTCGGTTTTGCAGATTCCAAATTAAATTGCAAAATGTTGTGGCATAGTTTTGATTTTTTTTTTCCAAAAATCTGGATGTTTCGGTTAAAAACTCAATTCGGAGTCATAAACTATATGTGTAGGACTATGTTATTTTATACAATTTAAAACCCATTTACTATGTACAATTTTGAAGTGACGTCATCACATTATTGGTGGGGATGATTAGGCAAATTTTGGTTAGCGTTTTACCATCTACATGATATTCGTAATATAAATACAAAATTGCACAACAATCGGTCCAGTGCTTTCGGAGATTATTTGTCTAATAAAAATCCGGGACGGCAGACAAACGAACAGACGGTCATACGGACAGACAGACGGAAACGGGAGACCTATTTCTTCGTCTTCTAGGGGTCATGAAAGATCGAGAAAATGTAATAGAGAGTCGGCCGACGGACTCGATTACAATACTTGTGATTCAATCTGAAAAAATTGGTCTAAAGAGTTTAGACAGTACTTCCCTCGCTGTCGGAAACTTGACGACTGCATGCCTATTGTGTTTTTTTTCTCATTACATTTTTGTAGTGGGAATTTAAAAAAAATTGCGATGACGTCATCAACATTTTTGCAAGGACACGTATATCAGTTGGGATAGATGTAGTGTAATACTAAGAATAAAATTATTATATTCTCAAATTTTCGGGAAAATGAATTGGGTCGTTTTGAATATTGATTTGTTATAATCAATAAAATAACGAAACAATTTACTCACGTATACGTATCAGAGGCAACTGAAAATCGTGTATGTATAAACATTCTTAATTTAAGATGACAAGCGTAACAGCATACGTGAGAGTCAAACAGAGAAACTGTAAACAAAACGACCATCGGTTTTATTGCTTCGACTTCCGCTTATTATATAAAACATTGGGTTTTATTTTAATTCTTGACGGTGAAATTCACAATTGGTTGATTATAAACATGTCTATTTCACATTCGCGGAACCAAGTGAGCGCATAAAACAAATGCAGGTCTGTAATGTTAAAGTCGATATAAATAAGCGTGCTACCTTTATGTTTCAACCGAGTTTTTCCTTTAACAAATTTTGTGTCTACCAAATTGGGTTGGTTGGGGTGTAATACTAATAATAAGTGTTGCCTTTAATTTAATCAATAAAATAAATTGACTTCATTAATTTTTTTGAACCACCTCTTAAGAAAATCTAAAAAATATGAATGGAATGATAAATCACAAGTACAAACTCATCATATTTTTTGCATTTTAGATAGGATTTATTCAGCAAAATTTGAGGGTGACGTCATCAATTTTTTTAGGAGGGATGAACAAATACATTTTGAACAAAAGTTTACCATGCTTATAATAACTTTAAAATATTCCCAAGATTTCAAAGCATTCGGTTTTCTAATTCCTGATTAAATCGATAAAATAAATTCACGCTTTCATTAATTTTTTTGAATCACCCTGCATATGCAAATCCAAAAATATGATTGGAATGATAGATCACAAGTACAGACTCATCATATTTTGTACATTTTAGATACGATTTATTCGGCAAACTTTTGAGCTGACGTCATCAGTTTTTTGTAGAAGATAACCAAATATATTTTGACTAAAAATTTATTATGCTCTTTATAACCTTAAAACATCTGCAAGATTTCAAAGCATTCGGTTTTATAGTTCCTGATTAAATCAATAAAATAAATTTACGCATTCATTAATTTTTTTGAGTCACCCTGTATATGCAAATCGAAAAAATTTGAATGGAATTATAAATCACAAGAAGAGACTCACCATATTTTGTACATTTTAGATAGGATTTTTTCAGCAAAATTTTGTGGTGACATCATAAATTTTTTAGGGGGGACGACCAAATACGTTTTGATCAAAAATTTACCATGCTTATGATGATTTTAAAATATCTTCAAGATTTCGAAGCATTCGGTTTTGTAGTTCCTGAGTAAATCAGTAAAATAAATTTACGCTTTCATTTATTTTCTTGAATCACCCTGTATATGCAAATCCAAAAAATATGAATGGAGTGATAGATCACAAGTACAGACTGATCATATTTTGTACATTTTAGATATGATTTATTCGGCAAATTTTCGAGCTGACGTCATCAAGTTTTTGGAGGGGATAAGCAAATATATTTTGACTAAACATTTATTATGCTCTTTATAACCTTAAAACATCTGCAAGATGTCAGAGCATTGCGTTTTGTAGTTCCTGATTAAATCAATAAAATATATTTACGCATTCATTAATTTTTTTGAGTCACTCTGTATATGCAAATCCAAAAAATATGAATGGAGTGATAAATGACAAGTACGGGCTCATCATATTTTGTACATTTTAGATATGATTTATTCGGCAAACTTTCGAGCTGACGTCATCAAGTTTTTGGAGGGGATAAGCAAATATATTTTGACTAAACATTTATTATGCTCTTTATGACCTTAAAACATCTGCAAGATTTCAGAGCATTCGGTTTTGTAGTTCCTGATTAAATCAATAAAATATATTTACGCATTCATTAATTTTTTTGAGTCACCCTGTATATGCAAATCCAAAAAATATGAATGGAGTGATAGATCACAAGTACAGACTCATCATATTTTGTACATTTTAGATATGATTTATTCCACAAACTTTTGAGCTGACGTCATCAAGTTTTTGGAGGGGATAAGCAAATATTTTTTGACTAAAGATTTATGATGCTCTTTATAGCCTTAAAACATCTGCAACATTTCAAAGCATTCTGGTTAGCAGATTAAAATTTAAATTTCAAAATGTTGTTTTATAATTTTGATTTTTTTTCCAAAAATCTGGACGTTTCGGGTGAAAAGTCGATTCAGAGTTGTAAACTACATGTGTAGGACTATGTTATTTTATACAATTGAAAACCCATTTACTATGTACAATTTTGAAGTAACGTCATCGCATTAGTGGTGGGGATGATTAGACAAATTTTGGTTAGCGTTTTACCATCTACATGATATTCTTAATATAAGTACAAAATTTCACAACAATCGGTCGAGTACTTTCGGAGATTATCGGTCTAATAAAAATCCGGGACAACAGACGGACAGACGGACGGACAGACGGACAGACAGACGGAAATGGGAGACCTATTTCTTCGTCTTCTAGGGGTCATGAAAGATCGAGAAAACGTAAAAGTAGAGAGTCGGCCGACGGACTCGATTACAATACTTCCTTTGCTTACGCTCGGGAAGTAAAATTAATGTAGGTTCCGAAAAGTTATTGCATTCCTGAAGAAGCAGTCTTCAGGTTACAGGTCAAAGAAGTCAAAGATTCTTACGGGTGAGAATGTCAGTACCTTCTTAAATGAAGCTCCCGACAAGGATTACTTGCTAATAAAGGTGACTTACACACAAGAAATTAAATTCAAAATGCATTTGAAATTATTCAAACAGAACTTCCTTTGCACCTGAGGCAAAGTCAAACAAATTCAAGTTCTTAGATACCAAAAAAATATATATATGATTCTGCGATTTTTTTGTGTTAGCTGATAACCTCTATATGTTAAAATAAAAATATGTGTATATTAATTAATAATTACATATTAAGTGGGTAGACACTAAATGCAGCTGAGTCAAATCACGCTGACTTGCCGTTAGATGCGACCGTATAATATCTCCGTTTATCTACAATGATTGTGTACTTTTTCATTTTCGTATATATCATATAAAAGGTACTATTACCGCACCATGAGCTATTTGTGGATTTACTACGATCCTGATCTTGCGCACATAATCTGAAGGTGAAATTCAATGTTTAAACGATCCGATCCAATAAACGTCCAAAATCTTCCTCCATTCAATATTACGCAACAGTTGGTTCGGGCACGCACTGCCGACTACCGACTATGAACACACAATCGCCTCACAAACATCAAGGCTAAAACTCAATTATATACAGTTTTTGTTCAATCGTTTTCTTTTAACAAAAATATGGGACTCACCGTAAAATTGTTCTTCGTTATTGGTACAGTTTTAATTGCTTATACTATTAGTAAACTGTGCGAAACGCCACCCGTTCCAAAATTAGAAGACACTTGGTGGGGCCCTCGAGATCCATCGAAAGAAGATACGTCAATACGGCCATTCAAAATTCAAGTTTCAGATGGGGTGAGTTGATACGCATTTTTACGTTCACTGGTCGCTTAATTATGCAAGATGTTAATTATCGTCTCATGAATTTTTACAGCTTGTCCTAGATAATGAACTTTTAAACATTGACAAAACACTAGCATTGTTAGATGATTACAGAACATTGATTAGATTTTATTCAACCCATGTGCAAAGTTGATGATGTCATCTCAAAATTTATTAAAAATGTACCTGGAGATGCAGTGTTAGGAGTGTTTGGCAATATATTCTCACTTTTTTACAATTGTTTATCTAGAATGTTTCCAAAAAATTAAAGAAGCAATATATTTTATTGATTTTTAAAATTTTGGTATCATAGTAAGTCGTTTACTGCACGTTTCAAAACAAACACAATTTTTTTTTTATTTTGATAAGACATTTACCAACTTTGTTTTAATGATCACAGAATATTAACAAAATTGAATTTATTCATCTCCTCCAAAAAACCGATGAAATCTCAAAAAATTATGAAATCAATGCTTATTAAAAAAATGTCTAGAACTGATGGTAATATAGAGATAATATATATTTTGGTTTCAGTTTAAGCCAACTCATTATTTTTTTTTTATTATTATGATTTCAAACACGACCTGTGTTTGTGCCTCAGTGACGTGGAATAAAAAAATATCAAAATCATGTGTCTGGTAACATCATGCAATGAAAAGAGTATTCTAAAAATATAAAAGTATTTTTGCCTCAATGCTTACACATTCAATCTAATTTTGTACATTTTAAAAACATCACGTTGCCCGAATGTTGTTTATGCATTATTGTTTAAGTTAAAAAATTTTAGAGCAATTTATTTTTAATAGATAGTTTTAAAATGGGACCGTGACGAACAATCAATAACCTGATTTCATTAATTGAAATATATTGGTTTACAGGTTTTACAAGATCTTCAACACCGCCTTTCAAACGCAAGAGCCTTAACACCACCCCTAGAAGGTGTCCAGCATCAGTATGGTATCAACACAAAACTTCTTAAAAATATAATCGACTACTGGCGAACTAAGTACAACTGGAGGGAACGAGAAAAGTTCCTTAATCAGTTCCCTCAGTACACTATAAGCGTACAAGGGTTACGACTTCATTATATCCATGTTAAACCCACGAATCCAGGAAAGGTGAAAGTCCTTCCTCTTCTATTATTACATGGTTGGCCAGGATCGGTTCGTGAATTTTATGACCTAATTCCACTATTGACCAAACCAGTGTCAGGTCGAGATTTCGTTTTCGAAGTAATAGTACCATCGCTACCTGGATATGGATTTTCTGAAGCCGCCGTGAAACCTGGGCTAGGACCCATTGAAATGGCGGTAGTTTTCAAGAATCTGATGAATCGTTTAGGTTTTGAAAAATATTACATTCAGGGAGGTGACTGGGGTGCTCTTATTGTACAACATATGGCTACTCTATATCCCGACCGCATTTTGGGTGTACACTCTAACATGTGTTTCGTGAACTCAGCTCTCTCTAACTTGAAATTAATTTTGGGTAGCTTTTATCCTCCTCTAATTGTGGATAAAAAGGAACATGAAAGTAAAATCTACCCACTGTCTACGTTTTTCTCAAAGATGATGCTGGAGATGGGGTACATGCACATACAAGCGACTAAACCTGACACTGTTGGTGTAGGGTTGAATGACTCCCCGGTTGGTTTAGCAGCTTATATTTTGGAAAAATTTATTACTTGGACTAATGAAGAATGGAAAAATTTAGACGACGGTGGACTAACAAAGAAATTTACTTATGCAGATCTTTTAGACAATGTGATGATCTACTGGATCACGGAATCAATTACCACTTCCGTAAGACTGTACTCGGAATCTTTCAACAAAGCCCAGATGTCCTCAGGCGTAGACAAGTAAGTGTGCCTGCAATTTTACGTATTCAAACTATACCAAAAGTTAAGTAAGTTTTGTTTTAATAAAATACATTTTTTGTTTCAGGATACCTATAACGATACCAAGCGCATGTGCAAGATTTCCTAACGAGTTGGCTCTTCAGCCAACCATAATTCTAAAAGAAAAATACCGTAATCTCGTCCATATTACTGATTTTGAAGATGGAGGTCATTTTGCAGCCTTTGAATTGCCTAAAGTTTTGGCTGACGACATTTTTACCGCTGTGGTAAAAATGCGGTCCACACCTTCATCTCAAAAATAATTTTGTATTTTTTCAATAAATGTTACCAAAAAATCTGATGTAAATTATTGCAACGTAAAAAGTGTTTAAGTGCAAAGGAATGAAGAGTGGAAACAAAAACCTAAGTGAGCAAGTAAACCTCAGCAATGCAAGTGTTCGCACATCGCGTGTTGTAGCTGAGATTAGACGAAATAAATCTTCACGAAGAGACGCCCTTCGTGCCGCTTTCGCCACGCATCCTTACGTTGTGGAGTTTGTTTTCACTCAGCTGCCGGTATTAAAATTTATCACACCATCGTAATACCTTGAGTGATATCCAGTTACTTACATGACGATTCCCCCTTTTGCTTCGTATGTTTAAATTTGTGATGTTCAAATATCAATTGTAAAATCTCATTTCATTATTAAAAGCTGGAAACGTGTTTGGAGGTGGTAAACAAATTCCTTCTATATTTCCATATTTCGCACTTTGATTTAAAGCCTTTTTCCCAAACCTTTAATTCACCAATTTGCCTAGCGTTCCATTTTGTTGTCGATCACAGTTCAAAACCAAATTTGCAGGTTTCGCGGATTTTAAAAATTTTGTGCTAATATCTCAATTTGACGGGATGTTTGAGTTACCACATTATAAATTAGAGAGAATCTGAATAATTACGGCTACCAGATATATGTTACTTACTGTTACTTAAAATTTTGAAGAAATTGAAAACGAAATTGTAGTTAAACAAAAGTAAAATTTTAACTTATAAAATCAATATTTTTATATTACGTTTTCGATCGTCATATTAACCAAGGTACTTAGCAAACGTAGTGGGAACAGTAAAGTCATAATGATTCAGTTAAAAAAGAGTCACTGTACCTTGCGATTCTTCTGGTTTATAATTTAATCACTTATATGTGATTTCGTTCTTTTAAATATTTAGGAATAGCCGTTCAAAAGTTAACAGAAAATAAAACGACTTTTGGAAAGCTTAGAATGAATAATACGATTTGAACTTTTAACATACATATGAATCGAATTCTCGAGTAAATTATTCTGTCACCTGCGAATGTTTAAAACAATAAATAAATAAAAAGTTATTGTCTGCAAAGAAAATTTTTTCAAAATGTTATGCAACATAACTAATATCTACCTACTATATAGATTCTACAAATAACATTACATAAAATATTATCATTATTATATAAATAAACGTTACTTACGTTATCACTTAGTGATAATAATTTTACCGAGTGCTTAGTCTTAGCAATGACACAGCAACAATAGCAGTGGGTACCAAATCTACAAACAAATAGCATATCATTTATCCGGCGTTGCTGTGTCACAGTCATTTAATAACCGGTTTTAATCATCATTCATCAGTTATAAAAAAACCATTGTACTAAACATTCCGTAATAACAATAATGGGTTGCTGTTGTGTAATTATTACTGCCATAGCAGTGATCATCTTGTTAAAACTTGTGAATAAAATTAGGAAATTGTTTAAAATTCCTGCCGTCCCGTACTTGGAAGAAACGTGGTGGGGCCCTCGAGATAAATCCGAAGAAGACGACTCCATCAAATCCTTTACAATCAAAATATCTGACGAGGTGCTGTCTCACTATTATTATAAAAATCCACTAAACTATTTTACAACAGGTAATCGAAGATCTTCAGCACCGTTTGAAAAAGGCAAGACCATTTGTACCACCCTTAGAAGCAATTCAACAACAGTATGGCCTCAATACGAATCTTCTCAACAAAATTGTCGATTTTTGGCGCACTGAATATAACTGGAAGGAACGTGAAACCTTCCTCAACAAATTTCCGCAGTTTGTGGTCAGTGTTCAAGGTCTGCGACTACACTACATCCACGTAAAACCGGCAAATCCAGAAGGACGTAAGGTCCTACCGCTGTTGTTGTTGCATGGATGGCCCGGATCAATCCGGGAATTTTATGAGATAATCCCGCTGTTGACAACTCCACGACCTGGATGTAACTTCGTTTTTGAAGTTATAGCTCCATCGCTTCCGGGATACGGGTTCTCAGAAGCTGCGGTACGACCTGGGCTGGGTGCTGTTCAGGCGGCCGTGCTTTTCAAAAATCTGATGAAAAGATTGGGTTTTGCTAAGTATTATATTCAAGGAGGCGATTGGGGGGCTGTTATTATTCACCACATGGGAACTCTATTCCCGGAACAAATTCTTGGGCTTCATTCGAATATGTGTTCCGTTAATTCTCTAAAATCAAACATTAAGCTTTTCTTCTACAGTTTTTGGCCAACGTTGCTGGTAGCCCAAGAGCATGTTCATAAAATCTACCCTAGGTTGGCAAAACTAGCAAACTTGGTACTTGAGAGTGGTTATATGCATTTGCAGGCAACTAAACCAGATACTGTTGGTGAGACTGCTTTTACGACGAATATAACAGAAGAATAATTTAAAGATTTTCAGGGGTTGCTCTGAATGATTCACCAGTTGGATTGGCGGCTTACATTATAGAAAAATTTATTACCTGGACGAATCCAGCGTGGAAAGAATTGGAAGATGGGGGTTTAACAAAAAAATATACCTACACTGCCCTTTTGGACAACGTCATGATATATTGGATTACTAATTCGATTACAACCTCCATGAGACTTTATGCAGAAACTATGAGTGCAGCACAAAGAAAATTGCAAGTTGACAGGTACGCCATCAATGTTGGAAGATACATTTGTCCATCAATATTTCTTTTTTTTTGTAGAATACCAGTCACCGTACCAACAGGTGCTGCACGATTTACGTACGACTTGATGTATTCACCCACGGCTTTATTGAAAGAAAAGTTTCAGAACATTGTCCATGTATCAGATTACGACGCTGGACATTTTGCAGCTTTTGAAGAACCTAAAATATTGTCTGACGATATTTTCACAGCTGTTGAAAAAATGGAACTTTTTCATAAAAATCAACACAGTAGTTAATTCTTTGTGATATTTGAAATATTAGTTTTTACGTATCCAAAATTATATTCAATTTCGTTATAATATACCTACACGTTACGTATAAAGCGTAACAAATCCATAATTCATAATTTACTGCCTACCTGTTTATGCAATGGTCATGTTTCCTATTTTAATAAGCACATAGTAAATTTTTGCGATAGAGAACACAAAATGACTTTGTACCTTAGATAAAAAAAATTCGAACGAATACGCCTCGAAAATGACTTCAATATTTAAAAAATACACCCCTACGCCGCCCCAGTACGACGCCTATGACCGTCGAAAGCTTTCTGGTCTGTATGCTGATGACTCATCGTCAATTACAGCGACAGAGCGGCGTCGGATCGCCACAGAAAAGCCCGGAAGCTGAAGTCGCGATGAATTCCTGAGAGACCTCGATTCCGAAATATCTAGAAGGAAGTACAGGTTACGCGAACGAATTAGTTGAGTGTAGTCCAAACAACGAGAGCTGAATTCAGTGGAGTCGAGTGAACGAATCCATTCAAGTTGCACCATGGAGTTATTCTGTACATAATCGGTGTAATATCGTAGTTTGTCGTGTAATTCGAGTTATTAAGAAATACATTGTTAAGTTTTACCCACGCCGATTTCAATCACCTGTCCAACGTAACACTGGTGTGGGAAGTGAGATTTGAAATTAATAAGTGGTTTTACGACGAACCGTTACGGGCAGATTGAACAAGATGTATGCCGGTCGAGACGAGAACTCAAACTGCAGCAATGTTGGAAAAACAACTAAAACAGATGGCGGCTATGTTTGCGAAAATGAACGAAAAAATGGATGCAAGCAACAAAAAAATGAACGAGAAAATTAGGGCAAGAATGGTAAAAATGGACGCAAGAGTGGAAACAATGGACGAAAAAATAAAAGAAGTTGAGAAATCAGTGCAGGAATATATGGAAGATCGAATAAAAATTATAGAAGATAGAACAGAAGACAAAATGAACAAATTTGAAAAGATAATAAAAATTACAGCTACCACTGGTTCATGTAACGTGACGTCGTTTTCCAGAACAATTCAACCAGCCACCTATCATGGCCAGACACCGTGGTCATGGTATAAAATACAGTTCGAGGCAGCAGCGACGGCGAATCTTTGGGAAGAAGAACAGAAAGCTACAGCCTTGCTGATAGTTCTGCGAGGTGCAGCGGTAGAGATACTTCAAACCTTATCTGAGGAAGATATAAGCAAATATAGTGTTTTAACGACTGCTCTAGAACTGCGATTTGGGGATAAACATCTAAAGGAAGTTCTTGCCACCCGATTAAAGACAAGAACACAAAAAGTTGGAGAATCTCTACAAGAATTTGCAACAGATGTCAAAAAATGGTACTTCTACCATATTCCAATGCACCACCGACTATTCAAGAGAGGCTTGTGACAGAAACCTTCGTAGATGGCATTCGCGACTTTGAAGTTAAGAAGGTCTTACAATTATCAACGTGTCAGACATCATCTGATACCTTGATTCGTGCACTGGAAGTGGAGGCGGCGTACAGTTCTTCAAAAACGTGCTACAAAGTCAGGGTAACAGAAACAGGCAAAGAAGAAAACAACAAGATAGATAATCTGCTAAAAAAATTCTCACAACAAATCATAAATGGCCTAGTTCAAAGACGAGAGAATGGTGCGCCTCATGGAGTATTATAGATGTGGGCTTCAGAGATACCTCAAACATAATTGTCGTGCTCGATCACCAGAAAAAGCACACACGGAAATCTTACCGATATATAAAAGAAGCCAGTACGCTAGGGAATGAGTTCGTTGCTGATAATAAGGCCGCCAGCCAAGTGAAAATAAGAAGTTTCACCAGAGGTTTCAACTATACCGGGAAAGATTTATGAAAATCCAGCAGCAATCACTATCGATATTGGCGCTGAGGTATTAATTGTACGTAAAGGACTCGTGGGAGCTGAAGATGTAGAAACTAAACCCGAAACGACCAGATTGTAAACTGTAACTGGAGAGTCGACGCCGATCTCGTGGCAAGCATGGAAGATGACTTTATTTTGAGAATGGATTTGATTAGCGGCCATGAATTGACTATTGATTCAGTGAGGGACGTCCTACGTTTTGGAAATGAAGAGTTCAAGCTGAATCAGCGTTGTATTGAAACGAAGCCTGCAAGATTGATCGCTTATCAGAACTGCAAACACTGCGACGAGATTGAGCAGTCGAAAGTACGGTTCAACCGCAGGAAGAAAGCAGTTGCAGAAGATAATAAATGGACTGCAGCTCGGTGTAGACCAGGAGGAAGACGAGGATAATGGGCCGCTCGTCAGACGGAAAGAAGATGAGATAGAACGACCTGGCTCGTCGAAAATATCAGACGAGTCACCTTCTTTCAAGGCCTTATGGGCTCAAAGGGACTCCTTGCATGTTGAGAACGGATTGCTTAATCGAGCCTGGGAAAGTCGGGATGGAAGGCATGTCACTATGCAGTTGGTGGTTCCGGTCACCAGGATCAAGGAAGTACTTCGGGAGATGCACAGTGGGAGTTCTGGTGCTCATTTTGGAATCAACAAGACGCTTTCCAAAATTAGGGAGAGATTCTATTGGGTCTGTTGTCGGCAAGACGTCGAGAGCTGGTGCAAGAAGTGTACGACCTGCGCGGCGGTTAAAAGGCCTAAGATTAAGGCGAGAGGGCAGTGGCTACCACAGAACGTCGGCTCACCAATAGGAATATTGGAAGAACTGTAGGAGAAGTGGCGAGTGCCCGAAGAAAGGAACAAGGACACGAAGAAGGTCAAAGGTTACGACGATGGCTTACAGGAGAAGCTGCCGAGCATTTACAAAATGCTGCACTACCAGAATAGAGTGGCGACTGAGAATGAAGACACGTTACGACCTTTGGGACAACTCAGTAGGGTTCCAGGCGGGAAATTTGGTATGGATTTATAACCCCCGGAGAAGGAATGATTGTTGCCCAAAGTTGTCATCACTCATCAGACTGGGAATGTCCCTATACTGTGGTGACGAGGATCAACGATATCGTCTAGAGAATTCAACGAGGGCCGAAGACGAAAATGAAAATCATACGTTTAGACCGCCTCATGAGGCACAACAGCAGCGCCGTTGACGTTTCTGATCGAAACGATCAGAACTAAGGAGGGGGCAATGTTATGAAATACGACGCTTTCTGGTCTGTATGCCGATGATGACTCATCATCAATTACAGCGACAGAGTAAAAATTTAAAAAAGTAAAATAAACATGCTCAAGTGATTATTACCTAGCTTGAAGTACAATGCCTTGACAGAATATGTCGTTTTTAAGAGTGTGGGCACGAAATGACAGTTTCAATTTTAAAATATTTTAGGTTATATGACTGGTTTTCAGAAGGTACCAAATACAAGGTTGGTATCATTTCTCACATGTCATCATTTTTAAGATAAGACGCAAATGGTTCGCCTCAAGAATATTTCGTATATTTTAGCGTCTTGAAAAAGCGGTAAATAAACTGCCAAACTGTTGACGTAGAAGACATCTCTTCTTCTTCTTTTTATGTCCACGTGTCCCGAAATACAAAAAACAATATAATGAATAATGGACGAGAATAAAACCAGAGAACATAGAGAAGCGCCATAGTTTAAATCAAATGACGGTTGAGGACTTCTCAATTTATGTTGGTAGCAGTGTTTGTTTGTAACTAGGAATAAAAGTAACTAGAAGAAATGTCATAATATTTTTAACGACGCGTTTTATTTTCGACAAATTGACACTAGATTTACCAGAATATTACAAGCTGCTTACTGTTTCCTTCACTTTCATTTAGGTCACACGAATTACAATTATAGTGAAGCAAGGTTTTTATTGGCATCGACTATTTAAATTTGGCGCTTGCCTTTGGCGGTTGAGGACTCCAATGTCAATAAGGGTGGTTTTGCAAAATCAGCCTCTATGTCACTTCTCTATGTTCTCTGATAAAACTATTAACTGAAAGTTGATATATAATTTTATTCTTCGATAATATAATCTACTGGTTCATGCCTTAAAACATAGAATTGGAGCATAATTTGATACCCGTATCTCTTACCAATCATTCACAGCGTCAACCTATTTTAGTGACGCAGTTATTCCGAATCATTTTTATTGTACGTACCGCCACTGAAAAAGGAATACCATATCTGTGCTTCTTTCTAACTTGACATCGTTCTCAGTCGTGTCCACACTCTTAAAAACAACATATTCTGTTAAGGTATTCTACTACACAGACAAGAGTCTATAAATAAGATTACATAAAATATTATCGGCATAAAATAAATATACGTTACCCACGTTATCACTTAGTGATAATAATTTTACCGAGTGCTTAGTATTAGCAATGACACAACAACAATAGCAGTTAGTACCAGATCCTGCAGACCAATTGCATACCATTTATCCGGCGCTGCTGTGTCACGGTCACTTTAATAACCGGTTCATTTTAAACACCGATTCATCGTTTATAAAAAAAGTGCACTAAACATTTCATAACAGCAGAATATAATTCAACAATGAGTTATGCTTGTCTAATTGTTACTGCCATAGTAGTGATTATCTTGTTAAAACTTGTGAATAAAATTAGGAACTTGTTTAAAATTCCTGCCGTCCCGTACTTGGAAGAAACGTGGTGGGGTCCTCGAGATAAATCCGAAGAAGACGACTCCATCAAACCATTTACAATAAATATATCTGACGAGGTACTGTTTTACTATTATTATAAAAATTCACTAAACTATTTTACAACAGGTGATCGAAGATCTTCAGCACCGTTTGAAAAAGGCAAGACCATTTATACCACCCTTAGAAGGAATTCAGCAACAGTATGGCCTCAATACGAATCTTCTCAACAAAATTGTTGAATTTTGGCGCACTGAATACAATTGGAAGGAACGTGAAACCTTCCTCAACAAATTTCCGCAGTTTGTGGTCAGTGTTCAAGGTCTGCGACTTCACTACATCCACGTAAAACCGGAAAATCCAGAGGGACGTAAGGTTCTACCGCTATTGTTGTTGCATGGATGGCCGGGATCAGTCCGGGAATTTTATGATATTATTCCAATGTTGACAACTCCACGACCTGGATGTAACTTTGTTTTTGAAGTTATAGCCCCATCGCTTCCAGGATACGGGTTCTCAGAAGCTGCGGTACGACCTGGGCTGGGAGCTATTCAAGCGGCCCTGCTTTTCAAAAATCTGATGATAAAATTGGGTTTTCCTAAGTTTTATATTCAAGGAGGCGATTGGGGGGCCATTATTATTCACCACATGGGAACTCTTTTCCCGGAACAAATTCTTGGGCTTCATTCGAATATGTGTTCCGTTAATTCTCTAAAATCAAACATTAAGCTTTTCTTCTACAGTTTTTGGCCAACGTTGCTGGTATCTCCAGAACATGTTCATAAAATCTACCCTAGGTTGGCAAAACTAGCAAACTTGGTACTTGAGACTGGTTATATGCATTTGCAAGCAACTAAACCAGATACTGTTGGTGAGACTGCTTTTACGACACATGTAACAGAACAATACTTTCAAGAGTTTCAGGGGTTGCTCTGAATGATTCACCAGTTGGATTGGCGGCTTACATTATAGAAAAATTTATTACCTGGACAAATCCAGCATGGAAAGAATTGGAAGATGGGGGTTTAACAAAAAAATATACCTACACTGCTCTTTTGGACAACGTCATGATATATTGGATTACTAATTCAATTACAACCTCCATGAGACTTTATGCGGAAACTATGAGTGCAGCAAATAGAACATTGCAAGTGGACAGGTACGCCACTAATGTTGGGAAACTACATTTGTTGCATTAATATTTAATTTTTTTGTAGTATACCAGTCACCGTACCAACAGCTGCTGCACGATTTACATACGACCTGACGTATTCACCCACAGTTTTATTGAAAGAAAAGTTTCAGAACATTGTCCATGCATCAGATTACGACGCTGGACATTTTGCAGCTTTTGAAGAACCTAAAATATTGTCCGACGATATTTTCACAGCTGTTGAAAAAATGGAACTTTTTCATAAAAATCAACACAGTAGTTAATTCTTTGTGCCATTTGAAACATTAATTTTTATGTATCCCAAATTACATTAAATTTCCTTATAATATACTGCCTACCTGCTTATGCAGTGGTCAAGTTTCTAAGTATTCAAGTATTTCTTTGTAATTCTTATTTTAAGAAGCAAATAAAAACCAATAAAACGTGTTATTAGTATTATTCGTCACCATGTCGAATCCACATGGTAAATTTTTGCGATAGAGAACAATACGTTATACCTTAGATAAAAAAAAATCGGACGAATACGTGTCGAAAATGACATAAATAATAATAAAACATGTTTTAATATGGAACCCAAACCACCCATTTGGACCACGATCATTCGGTTTAACCGCAAAAATACAAATGGGTACCATGACTTTTAACGATATCATACCATGACAAATAAGTAAACACATAACTTACTCGAGGGAAAAGCCACCTTTATTAAAAAAATGCTAATTTTCAATGTTGTTAATACACAATCAAAAATTGTCTTTCCAACCAAACTCCCTGAAAGTAAGCAAACTAAACACCAAAAAAATTACCAAATGGTACAATTGATAATTTTACAATTTTCGGTTTCAAGTTTACAAGACAGGGTTAATCTTATTGTTTGTAATTTTGCAAAATTTCATATTTACTTTACAGTCTTAAAACCTAATGTTTTCTGAAGAAATCAAGTTGCCGCACAGTTAAATTAAATGGCTAATAATAATTAATAGATAACATTAGTTTACAGCGGTTTTGTGCGAAAACATTGGAATAATGTTTTTAATTTATACTTTAGCGCTAATTTCAAAACTATTTACACATCACGTCAGGATTTTGAGATGTTCACAGAGAAATATTGCGCAGTCCCATTTTGAAAAAAAAAAAATCAATAACGTAGGTAATAATCAGCCATATTTTAGGATTTATGGGGATTGGCAGAATGCCACCTTTAGGTTGGTAGTTTAGGCGTTTGGAGTATTGCATTGTAATTCTGACTCAACTTGTTTTAACAACGATATCTAAAGTTTGTATGGATTTTATCTGAGTTGTTATATTATACACACTTCATAACTTTTCATTCGAGATTTGAAATTGATCTCGACGAGGATAATTTCAACAATAGCTAAACGAACGAGCTGAAGTTCATTGCTGAATTGGAACAATCTAGTAATTATCTCATTATTTTTCTAAATCCTGTTCCGACCTGGGGTACCTACTATGGACGTGGATGATGCCGTCAAATAAGTATATAACATCCGAAAACTGAAGAAAACTCAATCGCCTTAATCAGAGCCATCGATCCCGTAACCGTGATCTATGATTTGGACAGTCTTTTTTTTCGTATGTAAATTTGTCGCCAGCAGCATCGTAATGACTTAAATATTACATCCAATTACTTTAATAACGATTTCTGCTTTTTTTCTTTGTAGATTTAAATTTGTGATATCCAAATTTTTGTATCGATTTGATTTCATTTTTTGAAAGCTGGATAGGTTTTCACAGCTGGAAAATAAGTTCCTTCTAGCTTATTTCAACAACTTTTCCCTCTGTAAACTGGAGTACCTACTAACAATTTGTCCTCCAAACTTTGCACTTTTACACTTTTCCAATAGTCCACTTTGTTGACGATCAGAGTTCAAGGCAGGATGGTTGAGTTAATAAATATCAACATGTTTACTGAAAAATTAAAAATTGGGCATTTGAAACTCTTTTTCTAATTACGGTCCAACAGTAATCCCCTAATATGTTTCCATCACATCAGCTTGGTATTAAATTTTTAAAAAACTGTAGAAACTGGATAATATTTTTATAATATGGAGATACTAGACAATGACATAAACATTTTAGCTTATTTACAGTATTCATCTATCCTAACTTAAAAATTTAAAAAAGTAAAATAAACATGCTCAAGTTATTATTACCTAGCTTGAATGACCATGAAATTTTTCAAATTTCTCAATTGCAGTAAAAATGTCCTTAGCAAACAAATCTGGCTGCTGAAATGCTGCAAAATGACCACCACTGTAGTCAGCTAAATGCAGTAAATTGGGATAAAGTTCTGGCAACATTCCATCCGAAGCGTATAAATCATATCTGAAGCGTACACATGCACTAGGAACTTGAACTGGCATTCTAAAAAAATACATATAAAAGTATTTAACTATACAACTTAACCCGATGTTTGAATAACTACTTTGATAACCATTGCCGTTCACCTTTCAAATAAATATAAAACCAAATATTTAGCGAGCCGAAAAAGAATAAACACCTTCTCCTTCAATCTTAAATCCATTACAGTATTTTTAAACACCTTTTATTTTGTATTTTGCGTAATACATTTTTTTTATATACTTACTGCTTTAATTTAGAATTTTACCAAAGTCATCATTACAACGAAAATGGAATATGTGCCAGCTATCTTGATAAGTGTATACAAATATTCTTCAGAGTCTATAAAAAATTCTCAGATAAGGAAAATAAAAGACGCGTACACGATTCCTTTGTACCAGACGGTCTGGGTAGTAACAAAAAATCGAATTTGTTTATGTAAACGTTGACTGTAGTAAATTACAAATGTTGTAGATTGATAGATTGGAAACGAAACAGAAAACGAGGACCAAACGAGTGCTCCCTAAACAGAAAAAGTTTGCAACCGATGGCTGATTTTTGTAACTTTATCATAATCTACAAAGCTGTAACTTCCCAATTTAAGTTACCACTGGCCTAGTTAATTATGCTGATGCGCATTATTCTGCCCTCGTACTGGATCGACCGATCAAATGTCCACAAACCCGATCGGGTTCTGTTTTACGATTGTATTCGTTTCTGCCTTGTCCACGCGCTCAATTCAGCAACCAAGCATCCCTTAAGTTAAACATCCCGAACATCGGAAACCCCATCCAATAGGAATGGTTAGATTAATCCCATTTACTCTGGGATTCCCCCAAATCATGTGGCGCCATCCAGGAATGTCACCAAAAACCCTCTGCTTTGGTATGTTTTATACATAAATAAGGGCACATAATTCTGTCACTTTGTTTTAACCCGTTTTAACCGAGCTTAATGTTTAGGGGTTTCACAGGTCCGGGACCTAAGGGACAATTTTTTGACAGCCGGTGGTTTGATGTTTTTAATTGTTGCCGACATGCTAGTTCTTCTAGAAGGCCGGACAAACTTCACAGCCTACTAAAGAAGTTTTTTTTTATCATATTATCTTGATCACTTGGTATTTACAATTTTGTTATGGATTTAAGATTTATAAAAGTTATAAAATTATGTCAGTGTTTCTTTTCATTTTGGTCGCTGTATGTTACTATTAAAGTTATATTAATATTACCTACTAACTCCTAGTGTTAAATAATTTTTTTTACTGAACGTCTCGGCATAAAGTCTCATGGCAGTGGGCATAGAACCCGTTATCCAGTAAACCATAACATTGTCCAAAAGATCGGCATAATTATAGTGATCTCTCAGACCACCATCTTCACGACTTTTGTAAGTGAAATTGGTTCCCGTAACGAATTTTTCAAGAATATAAGCTGCCAATCCCACCGGGGAATCCCGCAAAGAAACTCCTGAAATTTAGATACAACTTTTCTCAACATTTTTGTTTCTTTTGCAACCAATACTTGCCTAATGTATCTGGTTTTGTCGTTTGAACATGGAAGTAGCCGCTTTCTTCCAACTTAAAAGAAAAATAATGTGTTAGAGGGTAAACTCTTTCAACATGGTCCTGTCTAGTAAACCAAGTGGGATACACAGCACCAACTAATGTTTTCAAAACTGCCAGAGGAGTATATACTACACACATATTTGAGTGAAAACCCAACACAGATTCAGGATACAAAACCGACATCTGATGCAATATAATGGCACCGAAATCGCCTCCTTGTACGTAATATTTTTCAAAGCCTAAACGTTTCATCAGATTTTTAAAAATAACGGCCATTTGAGGAGCGCCTAAACCAGGACGCACAGCTGCTTGAGAAAAACCATAGCCGGGTATGGACGGTACTATGACTTCAAATACGAAATTTTTATCTGGACTAGGTGTCGTTAAAAGGGGTATCAGTTGGAAAAATTCCCTTATCGATCCGGGCCATCCATGTAAAAGTAGTAACGGCATGACTTTCTTGTTAGGGGATTCTGGTTTAACGTGTATAAAGTGAATATTAATGCCTTGGATGTTGGTCGTATACTGAGGATAGCTATTGAATATTTTTTCGCGTTCTTTCCAGTCGTACTTTGTTTTCCAAAAGAGGACAATTTCCTTTAGCAAATTCGTGTTCATCCCGTATTGTTGCTGCGTTCCTTCCAAAGGAGGGGTGAAAGTTCTAGCATGATTTAGCCTGTATTTCAGATCTTGTAAGACCTTAAAAAAAAGAAATGGGTTTCATTAAACACTCATATGGTATGATGACTTGAAAAAAATTAGGTGTAGGTAAAAAATCAAAAAAGATTCATAAACCACAAGTATAGGAGAATCTTGTTTTACAAAATTTAAATAACATGATGATTAGAGAAATTTTTGTTAGCGTTTCACCATCTACACGATCTTCCTAAAATGCACGTGACATTGACAACAATCGTCCAATAATTTCAGAGATTATTTGTCTAAAAAATCGGCATAGACAGACAGACGGAAACTCTTGGGTCATGAAATGTCGAGAAAACGTAGTCATTCGTCTATTTTAGTTTTAAATGATGGGTTTGTGAAAAAATAGATTACGTGTTATTTCGGAAGTCTCATCTGGACTCCAAAGAGAAAATTTTGAGTTATTTTTTTTAACTGAACGTGGACATACACACATACGTGAACCACAAAAACTACTCTAAACAGAATGGATTAGCAACTTTTTAAATTAAAAAATTATTAAATAAAAACCACGTTTAACAGTAAATAGTTAAAAATTGTATATTTTTTTAGTTTGACCTAAAGAAATTATTCTGTGAAAATTAAACTACTACTGTATCTATTTGCTGTTTTATTTACTTCTTACTCTTATTAGAAATGAATATGATTTGATGAAATTTAAGCAAATCTGCAATTTGATTTAGGAGTATTAAGTAAGTAAATTACAAACCTCGTTAGAAACGTTAATTCGAAATGTATAAATCGTTTCATCTATCTTGGAAAAATTTCCATCACCCCACCATGTCTCGTTCAACTTTGGGGCCAGCCCTGGTGTTATCAGTTTATTAATTTGGTAACTTATCAAAAGAATAACTACACCACAAGACACAACAATCTTCCATAAAACACCCATATTTATGTTGTAATAATACTCAAGCCCAAGTGAGCTCTATTGTTGATTTTGCATGCCTAACTGTACGATGATTATAATTATCAGAATTTTATGTTTTTCTAATCGGCACGTGGTAACAATTTAAATAAACTAAAGCAAAAAAAATGGGATAAATAAATCCTCAGTTGACAAAAAATAATCTGGTGACCATGAATTTTTTTTTAACGTGATGTTCGCATTTAATCTGTATTTGACTGAAACTCATGAATATTGTTTATTGTTTATTGTTACTTAATTGCCAATAGAAAAATCCAAATAGGCAGTTTACAAAGTAATTTAGACCTAAACTAATGAGACATAGTTAATAAAAATTAATCTAATTTAAACAATGCAGATTGTACCTTAAAAACAAACAGAAATAATAAAACTCAATAAATATGATTAATTAGGATAACATTTTTCTAAAGAGATTCAAATTACAATTAAATATATCGATAGATGAAGGTAAGTCATTAGTTAGTCTTGCAATTCTCATACAAGGAGAGTGAAATCCATAATTAGTTCTTTGAAGCTCAATAGAAAATAAATCATTACTTCTAGTATTATAGTTAGGAACTCGAAAGTTAAAAAAAGTAATTAAAATTGGACAATCAAACTGATTATGCAAAATTTTATAACCGTAAATTAATATAAATTTATTCCTACGAAATTCAAGTGATTCCAATCCTAGCAACTGAAGGCGGTCCTCATAAGAATATTTATTTTTGTCTATTTTAAGTTTAAATAAAATGAAATTAACCAACGTTCTTTGTATATTTTCAGTACGCTCAACTCCATTTCTGTAATATGGATTCCAAATGACACAGCCATATTCAAGAATAGACTAATGATTACCATTACATTATTGAAATGTTTACACTGCCTTTTTATAAATCCAGTTAGTCTATACGCTCTTTTTATGATACTATCTATATGAAAATTATATTTAAGTCGAGAATCCAAAATAATGCCTAGGTCCGAAATGGTTGTAACTCTTAAGACTGATGTTACCAATATAATACTGATATTCAAGGGGATGTATTATCCATGCGAAAGTTATACTTTTACACTTATTTATATTTAATGACATGTCGTTATGCTTACACCAACTATTTAATGAATCAATGTCTTTTTGAAAATTAATAATATCATTATTGTTCGTTATTTCTAAAAAGAGTTTTAAATCATCTGCAAATAATAAACACTTTGAATATTTGAAGCAATGAACAATACCATTTATAAATAAGAGAAATAAGATAGGGCCTAAGTGACTCCCTTGGGGAACATCGGATGTTACCTGGATTTCTTTTGAAAGAAAACCCTTAAGATTGATTTTTTGGGTACGACCAATTAAGTATGAAGTTAACCATTTAAAAATATTTCCGATTACACTGTATTTCGTTAGTTTTGTTAATAATAATTTAATGTTTACCCGATCAAACGCCTTGGAGAAATCGGCTTATACGGCATCAACTTGATTACCACGTTCCAGCGCTTTGATAATATAGTTAGCATAAACTAGATATAGATTTAAATAATGGCAAAATATAAGACATTTTCCATTTATGAGGGCAAATACCACTTTTTAAAGATGACTGAAAGTATAAATAAATTTCATGGCCTACTAGAGGGCTTTTTCTTCTATCATACTGTGTAGTAGATTTAGTACAGTGCACAAGTTAAGCATTAATTTTTATATTTGAAGAATAATTGCACTTTTGATAAACTGATCTAAAGAAGCACAATGCAGAAAAATGGTTAGGTTAGTTTAAATTGATAGTGATTATTCTAAAGTATGTACTAAATTTTCATATCAATCATCAGTCGTAGTCTGCCTAACAATATAACCAACAGGCGAGCAGACAGACAGACAGACAGACGACACAATGAAATTATAAAATGACCCTGTTACAATATTTCGCCAGTTTAGGCTAAAAAACAAAAACTTAAAAGCTCCTTGGGAGGTCTAGATGTTTATCACTAAATATCTTTATCTAAAAAAAGACGCGAATAAATTTCAAGGCAATAATCAACAAATTATCATAAATGTTTATTATTGCCACGCAAGCAGAAAACTTGTTCTTCACGTTTTCTGCTTGGTGTGTTGCGTTTTTCAATGTTATCTCAAGTCACACGTTATCGGAACCCTTGAATTAGCAGTAGCAACGGTTGTTGCAGGAGAACACAACTCGTTCGACACCGGTACTGGTTTTGAGACATAACCAATACCATACCCACATTTCCCGTCCTGCTGGCACGGTGTTTGCAGCGGAACAGTAGTGAATTACATTATAAATCATTGTATCAGTGAGTTAGTTTGTAAATAGAATTTGAGAAAATTGATTACACTAAACTTCAGTCATGGGTGCTTTAGTGAAATTCATTGTTTTAATTATTGCTTTGGCGGTAGGCAATGTTATTTACAAAATTAATCAACACCCGCCGGTAACAGTGCCTCCAGAGAAATGGTGGGGTCCTGGAGAACCACCATCCAAGGAAGATAAAAGTATTGTTCCTTTTAAAATCAGTGTTAGCAATACGGTAAGAATTTAGTTTTAAGTTACACTTGTGTTTTAAATTACCAAGTACTTTTATTATGTAAGATCTTATTAACTGTATGTTACGCATAATGATTTTAAATCATTAGCCAAAAGTCAAGGTCGTCAAATTAATTTTTAGCATAACAGTGAGAAGGATATTTTTAGAACATAGTTTTAACACAGGTTTTAACATGCTTTTGTGTACTTTATTACCAGAACCATTAACCATTAATTATTAATTTATTACACACCTTAGAAATTTTTTAATCATGAAATGAGTTTTTTTTATATTCAGCAGATGGAACGTTGTATTGAAGTCCAGATCTTATCAGTCGATAAAATAATAAGGTCAAAGTTTGGATTTTTACAGAACTGTAGGTGATATGAAGAAAACTGTGAACTGCAAGCTATCATAATTTTAATTATATATGGTTTATTATTCGTAATTTTTCTGACAAAATGATAACGTAGTCGATGTTTTTCTGAACCTTAAATTATATGTTTCAATATTAACACATATGGGTAATCTAGTCAGCGGAAATTTAAACTCTTATTTTCTCATATATGTTTACTTTTACCCTTTAATCACCATTACTTTTAAGTATTAAGATAAAAAGTGGCCCATGCGGGGATCGAACCCGCGAGCTTCGTGTTATTAGTCCTACGCTCTAACCAACTGTTCCTCTTACATTAATATAAAATGTTGTTAAAGAGTGTTGACGGACTGATAAACCATGAGTACAGAAATATGTTATTTTATAAAATTTAGGTAGCACTTACTATGCAAAATTTTGAGCTGACGTCATTAAATTGTTAGTGAGGATGATCAGATAAATTTTGATCAGCGTTTTAACATTGACATGATGTTCCTAAAGTATTTTATTTATATATATGTAACATATAACTACCAGACCGATTGTCGTCAAATTTTGTATTAGAAATATCGTTGGTAAAGGTAACCAAAATTTGCCTCATCATTCCGACCACAATGTGATGCGACATCCCCTCAAATTTTTTCATAGTAAATGGGATTTAAATTTTATAAAATAACATACTTCTGTACTTATGAATTTATCTTGAGATTTTTCCCGCATTTTATACTAATATAAGCAAAATAGGTAAAATCCTCTCCTGATTTAAAATCTTTGAAATAATACTATAACTATTGATTTGAAAAATGGTTTTCATTAAAAAAATGTTTTAAATTTTATTCTATTCTATAATATGCTTTAAAAATTAAGATTTCTAATTAAAAAATATAAATAACGCTACATCAGTGTCAGTGATAAGCAAAAATGTTTTTGATTTGTCAGCATTTTTTATCAGATCTGATTATAATGTGGAAACTTTATAGAAACTGCTGACTTTTCTAGTACAGCGGCAGGAAAATTCAGAAAACGAAATGTACAACCATTTTTAAAATTTGAAACAAATTTTATAATTTAGGTAAGAGTAGATCCAAAAAAAGATGTCTGACTACTTACGTTTAAAACACTTACTTTCTTATGCATTCATTATATGTACTCATTTTAAGCCAATTGTCAAAAATACTTATCCAAAATTTTCAATTTTTCCAGGTTTTAGAGGACTTGCAAAACCGACTAAAATCTGCTCGTGATTTTGTCCCTCCCCTCGAAGGCGTTCAACAACAGTATGGCATAAACACAAAGCTGTTAAAAACCGTCGTTGATTTTTGGTTAACAAAGTATGATTGGCGCGAACGGGAAAAATTCCTCAACCAATATCCTCAATTTAAAACAAAAATACAAGGTCTAGACATCCATTATCTCCACGTAAAGCCTAAGAACGTGCCCAGCGATGTAAAAGTCCTACCTCTTCTTCTTCTTCATGGTTGGCCTGGTACAGTGAGGGAATTTTATGAAATCATTCCTTTGTTAACGACTGTACAAAAGGACAAGAATTTCGTTTTCGAAGTAATTGCTCCTTCGCTTCCTGGATATGGATTTTCTCAAGCAGCTGCAAAACCAGGTCTAGGAGCCAGCAAAGTTGCTGTTGTGTTTAAGAATTTGATGAAACGATTGGGCTATGAGAAATATTATGTGCAAGGAGGCGACTGGGGTTCCTCTATCGGGTCATCGATGGCCTTATTCTTTCCAGAACATGTTAAAGGGATACACTTAAATATGTGTATGTCTAATAGTCTTTTGTCAAAAATGAAGTTACTGGCAGGTAGTGTGTGGCCAAGTTTGGTTGTCGACGAGAAACATAAACATAAGCTTTATCCTCTTGGTGACTATATATCGAATGCTCTCTTGGAATTTGGATATATGCACCTCCAAGCAACTAAACCGGATACAGTTGGTAAGATTTTTCATGGGGAATGATATCATGATATTTTGATAATTTTAATTTCTTCATTCTTTATTAATAATGTGAAAGTAGACGCCACGTGACCATATATATAATTTTTAGGTGTCGGTCTTAACGATTCACCAGTCGGATTGGCAGCTTACATATTAGAGAAATTCACCACTTGGACCGATCCCGCGTGGAAAAACAGGGCCGACGGTGGTTTACTAGAAAAGTACACATACGCCAAGCTTTTAGACAACGTGATGATTTATTGGATAACAAATTCAATTACAACGTCTATGAGGTTGTACTCTGAAACGATAAACAAAGAAGAAAATGCCTTTGAAGAAATGTAATCTGCCACATATCATTTTCTTTTCTTGTTGCAATATAATTGTTTTGTAGGGGTCCTATTCAAGTTCCTGCCGCATGCGCCCTTTTCGATAAAGAAATTATATATCAACCAAGAACAATACTTCAAGATAAATATCCAAAACTAGTTCAAGCTAACGAGTACGATGGAGGACATTTTGCAGCGTTTGAAGTTCCTGAGACTCTCGCCAAAGACATTTGGCTTGCTGTTACGAAAATTGAGGATTTGCCGCCACCAAAATAACATGGTTGTAGCAGTAGAATTTTTAGAGGTTGGTGGGCAAGCGCTAAAACTAGCGTGTTAAGACTGAAGTGAATTGTTTTTGTTATGTTTTGTTATAAATTTGTATTTGCTTATTATTTTTCTGACATGTCATTATTTTTGTTAATTCTGGGTCCTAAACTTTGAGTGTTTTGTTAACTGTTGTGTAAATAGAAATGTCATCCGCAAGGCTACAATTTTTACATGATTTCAATACAACGTATAAAATTAATAACAGCTTTTTACTGTTGTGAAGAGATCTACTACGTGTTGAGCAACAAGATTTAACAATGTCAGCTTAAGCGTAATAATCATCATATTTTGATTATCATTTGCTATTTATGAATGTTTTAAGAATCATCAGTTATTTTTTTAAAGAAATACGTTGTATATTGGTATCAGATCACTCAAGATTTGTAAAATCTATGTGTTCTGTACAAAATTTACATTTCTTTTAGTTACACCTGCTATCTATATCTTGGAGAAAGGCGTATAAATTTCTTAATTTCTTGTGGACGCCATGGTATACTATTTCCCTATATTTTAAGATTTTTTTATTTAAAAAGTTCTATGAAGCTGATAACCTGAAAATGGTTTCTATTGTTCTAATTTTCTACATAAGACATTCATCGGCGAGAATTAATTTGTGATTTTCTATTTTAATTACACTCATTATCCATTAGCATTTTTTGTGACAACACTATGACCGTCAGCTTGAATATTAAAATGGCATTTTTTATGTAGCCAAGGATTATAATTAGTTCAAGGTTCAAGGTAATATGGTAGTAAGTATTTTATATACAAAATAAAACTAAATAAAAAAAAATTATTCTATTCAACAACTGCAAGATTTAATAATAAATTATTGAAATTAATTCCATATATTGATATTCGAAATGGTGTATTATTCTGAAAATTTTCCACATTATTTAGTAAGTACATTCTTTATTAAATACTCAGTTCTTCGACAATTGCTCCTGACACTCTGCGGCACTATAATTCCTCCAACCTCCAAAGCGTTTTACTGTGAAAAGTTTTCCCCCAGAATCCGTCAACAAGGAGGTGAAAAACCTGAAACCATGGGCAGTATATTCGTCTGGATTAGCAATAAGCTTTAAAAAGTAGCAATATTTCCAGAAGTGGTTGATTTTTCACAGCTTGGTCGGTGTAATTTGGACGCATTACAGTTAATTATCAAGTTAGAATAATTCTCATTAGGAAGTAATTACCACATAATTTAGCTGTCCATTTTGATAATTATCTTGATATACAACATAACCTCTTAATTAAATTAATTAATTATAGGAGTACCTATATTTTTTAATCATTTTTACTACGGAACAGGTCCCATTATAAAAAAAAATCAAGCTAAGCAGGAAATTTGAAAGGTAGGTATGTTTTAAACAGTATTTTAAAATAAAAATAAAAGTTTTCAAGAACGAACTAACTATATATAATATATATATTTAAATTTCGAGACAATGGAAATACATAAAACGAAACAAAAACATGCAAATTAACCCATTTTTTCACTAATTTCATTAACTCAATGAATAATATTTGCATACATACATAAGTTTTATGAACACGTCACTTCGAAGTATGAGAGAAATGCCGATTCGTTTTGATAATAATTTTATAGAAAAATGTGATGTCAGTTATGCAGTAGTACCATCTGCACAACTCATCTCCGAACCAAATCTTTTTCGTTTCAGTTTTGATCACACGGTACCAACTATAAACAGTTAAATAAACATACTATCGACAAGATCAAAGCAACTCTTGCTAGGAGAGGAAAGGACGTGCTAGGAGTTTATAGAAGTATCGTATGTCAAAAATTCGATACAAAATTTATTGTATTTCACGGACGAGGGAAGTTCTGTCTAAATAACTTTGGAGCAATTTTTTCAATTAAGGGACGCGTCTGATTTAGTTTTGTCCTGTCTTAATTGCATGAGGATCAGGGGTTGAATTTAGAAAATACGCTACATATGATACTTATATCGCTTAAAAAAAATATTGTTACGATGAACAGGTGATTAAAATCGGCGTGGGTTAAACTCAACATGTATTTCTTAATAACTCAGATTTACACCAGAGGATACAACGACTCCGCCCCCGGAGTGAAACGGATTAGTATTACTGCGCTGTGTGCGATAAGAGTTATTCAAGTGCGGGTTTAGAGACTACACAAGGACTATTTGACTGATATTAAACTTAGATATTACAGGATTTAACCCTACCCTGGTTAACAGTTTCTACCATTTTTAATTTTTTTAAAATAGACATCAACATATCGATAAAAGAGAAAGATATAATAAAGAGAATATGGAGCAATAATAAATTTCAGGGCGCTCTATTCGAAAAAATTGAAATATGTAATTTAATTACATATAAAATTTAATTTAACGAAGTACACATGTACCTCTCTTTATCTCTCTAAAAAATATTGCAAAACAGATCTTAAAAATAACACTATTGCGATTTGTTTTGTGAACCCTAGCATTGGTAAAAAATTCAAGAAAAATATAAATAACGTTACATCATATCGGAAGTTCAAGAATAAATTAAAATTAAAATTACAAAGTCTAAGAAGATCCGATGGGTTCCCGAGGTTTCTGGTATTTACATGACGTCACGTCACCCAGGCAGCGTTCGCTTAAAGACAAACCTCGAGCGGATTACCGGAAGTCTCAATTGCGGCGTCCAGAAAACGCTCGAAGCGGCGTTCGCAAAAGAAAGGGCTGGACGCGGGAGTCGCGATGGACTCCAGAAAGATTTTGGTTGGAAACATCGAGAAGGGAATATGAGTTTAAATGGGGGCCACCTTCGGGAAGGAGATTATTCAGTCAAGGAGTCCACCGAGTGAGCGAATTCATTCAAGTGAACCACGAAGTTATTCTGTACATAATCGCTGTAACAGTCGTGTAATTCGAGTTATTAAAAATAAATTGTTGAGGTTTATCTACGACGATTTAATTCACCGAACATTGTAACACTAGTGTCAGAAGTGGGACTTGAGATTAATAACTGGTTTTACGACGACTTCCGGGCAGATTGGACAAGAATTCTGAAGAATTATGCCTGTCGTGTCGAGCTCAAGCTGCGAAAAGATCATGCCTATGCTCGCAGAAATGGGCGCAAGAATGGAAAAAATGGATGCAAGAGGAGAAAAATTTAACGCAAAAATGGTAAATATGGACAAAAAAATGGACGCAAGAATGGAAAGAATGCGTGCAAGCGTGGAAGAAATTAACCAAAAAATGAATGCAGCAATAGAGGAGATGATCGAAAAAATGGACGCAAGAATGAAAAAGATGGACGAAAAAATAGACAAGCAAAAGATGACATAATCACCAGCCTAAGTGAAAAATTCGAAAAGAAAGTGGAAGCAAACAAGAATGAAATAAAAGAAATCAGAGGAGAAATGAAGGACGTAAAAACAAATCTGGAAAATATGGAAAATATTCTCGGACGAAATGTGATGTCAAGGAAAACACCATGGAAGATCGAATGAAAATTATAGAAGATCGAATGAAGAAATTTGAAATGTTAATGAAAAATACAGCGACGACTGGTTCAGGTTATGTGACGTCGACCCCCAGCACGATTAAACCACCCACTTATGATGGTCAGAGACCTCGGTCATCGTACAAAAAGCAGTTTGAGGCAGCAGCGACAGCGAATCTGTGGGAAGAAGAACAAAAAGCTATAGCCTTGGTAATAGCGTTGCGAGATGCAGCGCTAGATACTCCAAACTGTGTCTGAAGAAGATAGAAACAGATATAATGCCCTAACTGCTGGTCTGGAACTTCGATTTGGGGATGAACATCTGAGACAGGTTTTTGCAGCTCAAGTGAAGACAAGAACCCAGAAAGTTGGAGAGTCCCTTCAAGAATTTGAAGCAGATGTCAAGAGAATAGTCTTGCATACACCGACGCACCACCAACTTTTCAGGAGACGCTTGCGATAGAAACCTTCGTAAATGGCATTCGCGACGGTGAAGTTAAGAGGGTCCTACAACTATCAAGGTACCAGACAACATCGGAGGCCTTGATTCGTGCACTACAAGTGGAGGCGGCGTACAATTCTTCAAGAACCTGGCACAAAGTCAGAATAGCAGAATTAGATGAAGAGAAGAATGACAAGGTGGAAAAGCTGTTGGAAAAATTGTCGGAAAAATTCTCGCAGCGCACAATAGATGGGCTATCTCAAGGATTAGAGAATGGTGTGCCTCGGAAGAGAAACCTAGAGTGCTATAGATATGGGCGCCAGGGACATCTCAAACGCGATTGTCGTGCTTGATCACCAGCTCCGAGGAGAAGCACACGACAGAAACCTCCTCAAAGAAATAGTCAGGAAAACTAAAAACAGCCAGTACTTTGGGGGATGTGCTGGCTGCCTTGAATAAGGCCCCCAAGGAAGTGAAGATAGGAAGTTTCATCAGAGGCAGTAGTCTAACTATACCGGGGAAAATTAATGGAATGCCCGCAGCAATCACAATCGATACTGGCGCTGAGGTATCAACTATACGTCGAGGGTTCGTGAGAGCTAAACACCTAGCGACTTCATCCAAAACAATCAGATTGAAGGCAGTCACTGGAGAGTCGGCGCCAGTCATGGGTCAGGCAGAAGTAGAAATCTACATTGGTCAGGTGAAGATAAGATATCGCGCTTTCATGGCTGGCATCGAAGATGACTTCATTCTGGGAATGGATTTGATTAGCCGCCATGGATTGACGGTCGATCCAGTGGAGAAAGTCCTACGTCTTGGCAGTGAAGAGTATTGAATCCAAGCCTGTAAGATTGATCGCGTGCCAGAATGTGAAAGTCAGAGAGAATGCAGAGACGATTGTTCCAGTTAGAGCAGAAATCGAACCCGGATTTGCCCTTGGCATTATTCAACCACCACGCAGCCCCAAGAAGAATCTCATGATTGCTAGGGCTTTAATCAATAACAACCCAAAACGACATACCTGTACGCGTCGCAAATGTTTTTCCCAAACCCAGGACCATCAAGGGTGGGGAGGTTCTTGCTGCCTGTGAACTAGCCACCAATATACAAACTACAGACTGCAAAAATCCAATAAATAGTAGTAGTGCCTGAATACTCATGGACCGTATTGTACGTAATGTCGATGAGAATCGTCAAGACAAGTCAAAATATACTTCAGAACTCATAAAATTCAACCAAAGTAAAATTTTTAGCTAAAAGCTAATTTCTTGAATCTACAA